TTATACTTTGCTATTAAAAAATATATCACCCATAGATTTAAGGTAAAACAAAGCATAACAAGTTTAAAATTTTGAAATAAGCCATAATATGAGAGTTGTTTGATATATCAATGATAACTGCACTAATTAATTTTATAAATTAGTTTTGCAATATAACAGACACCTTTTTAACGGATACTTCTCTTGGATAGACAATTTTCCTAAAATTAAATATTTGGCACAACTTAACATCTTTTGATCGGGCATTCCTCTTGAATGGACATAAGTTGGCTTACAAGAAGTGTCTGCGAAGGAAAAGGAAGTATTATTTTTGTAATATGGCAACGTTTAAAAGCTTAAACATTATTTACTGGGCACGTGGTCTTTCAATGTTCAGACTATATTTGGTACGCAATCAAATAATCTATTTTACTAATAAATATTTTGAGATTAGGAAGAATTTAGTTTTTCAGACGATGTCAAAAAAAATTGAAATTATAATTTAAAAAATTGAAATACTATTGTGAAAAATGTATAAAACCGGATGTTGACATAAAAACTTTAAAAATAAATAAAAACCCAATTCTTCATTTATCATTGACTACAATACTGTGGGGCGTAGCTGAGAAGGAAAAAACTATAGCTCATCTGCTCTGTCACTGCATGGTACACTCTAGAAGACACATATCCATTCTTAAAAGTCCGTCTGATATTAATATAATCACCAAAGACATAGTGTGCTTTGTTAAACCACAAAATGATTTCTCAGCCGGGTAAATTTATCTAAGTTCTACCTGTACTATCGCAATAATTATATATTCAGGGCGTAAGTAACCTACTTCTTTTACAAGACGTATTCTTTTACTTAGACGTTTTACCAATAAAAGTGCTCAGTTCAAATTATGGTTCATAGATATCAAAAGCATTACCTGTCTTAAAGCAATAAAACGGTTTACCAGTCCGAAATTGGGGTATCTTTATCTAATTTCTAAGTTTCAACTGTAGCATTGAAATAATTATATCTTCTTGGCCGCAGTAAGCATCGTCTTACCACTTGGATCTACTACCAATACACGTATTCAGTTAAAATTATAGTTTAATTTTTTACGTTCTAGCTGGTATTAAAATGTTGCAATAAATTGAAAACATGTACTTTTGTTCTTCATCACTTTTTGCTTTATTACCATTCAATTAGATATAATTTAGAATATATTTGGCTGGTACTGTAGTAAGCTGGTATTAACATATGATTTAGCTGTAATAACAATGGCACTATTTGTTTATTGCATTATATGTTTATCATAATTTCAATTATAATAAATGATTAATGTTAATTTTTTTTTTGTTAATTTTCTTTTCTTGTTAGATTGATTCGAATAGCAAAGAAAAGATAACAACAAAAGTTTTAGTTAATTTATTGAAGTTTGACTGTCGCTGTTTCGATTATTGCCAAGTAGTTATTATCAGTGATTTTAGAAAATATTCAAATTTCTTTTTAATTAGTTTATAGTCCGTATATAGTTTATTTTGAATGTAAGTGCCAGGCTTAGAACTTGTGCCTGTCAAGTTTCTGCTTGAACTATTCTACTAGATGCAAGTTTTTTTTTTGTTTTTTTGAATCTTCTATGTATGTCTATTCATTCTTAATAAATTTTCCTTAAAATAAGATCCAATATTGTTTTAAAATGTTAACCCGTTACGTTCAGATTCGATCAGATTACAATACCCAACCATTTAGTTGCGATTTACTAAGATAAATTAAAGATAAAGATAAATTATTTTATACACACGTGTGTATGTATACTATTTTTTTTTTTTTTTTTTCTCAAGAAGGGTTGGGAAGTAGTCTCCGCGTCACTGCATCCTCGAGGATTATTGTGACATACCCACTTCAGTTCCATAGACGAGTGGCAGTTAAGAATGCCAGTATGTCCTTTGGAGAGATGTTGCCTACTTCCGTTATAAGCGGATAGGCAATGGATAAGTAGCGAAGTCTGAGTCTTGCAAGACTATCACAGTGACACAATATGTGTTCTGCTGTTTCCTCTTCTTCGTAACAAAGTCTACAGCTATCGTCTCCAGTGATACCTAGATTCAATAAATGTTTTTTAACTCCGCAGTGTCCAGTTAGAAAACCTGTGACAAGTCGGATGCCACTTCTGTTCAGCATAAGTAGCTCCCTAGTTCTGGCTTTTGATCGAAACGGCATGGATTCTTTTGCTTGTCTGCAGGTAATTGTATTATCCCAATCATTCTGAGCTGCTTTTTCCAACCATTCATTAGTTTTAAGTTTGAAAAAGCTCCACGAAGGACCGCAGAATGGTTGTGGCCCAATATAGTATGAGGCCGCCCCTTTTCTCGCTAGTTCATCTGCTTTTTCGTTTCCCTCAAAACCGCTGTGCCCTGGAATCCATATTAAGTAGACTCTGTTCTTTTCAGCAAGGTCTTTGAGAAGTAGAAGGCATTCCCACACTATTTTTGAGGTTACTCGAGGTGAGCGTAGTGCCAGGAGTGCCGATTTACTGTCAGAAAAGATATATATATTTTTTCCCGTGACGGGTTTACCTTTATATACCCTGAGACATAATTCAATTGCGTGTACTTCAGCCTGAAAAACTGAGTTTTCTTTACTCATACTCGCAAATATTTCCTCTTTAGGTCTTACTCCATATACTCCCGCCCCCACTCCTTCCATCGTTTTGGAGCCATCCGTGTACCACAGATGGTAGTCTCCAGCGAATGGAGGTATGTTCCGTTCCCATTCATTTCTGTCTGGTATTAGTATTAGGAACTTTTGGTGAAAGTTGAATTTAGGTAAGCAAATGTCAGATATGGTGATATTTAGTCCTTCCTCTCTTTGCGTTTCCCTACCTAACAGGGAGTTATCGAGTAGTCTTGTTGATTGATTGCTAGTCAACTGTAGCTTGGCCATAAAAGTCATTGCTTCCTTTTTGACTAGTAGGTGAAGTGGGGGGAGCCCCAATGCAACCTCTAGGGCTGCTGTCGGGGTAGTTCTCATCGCTCCACTTGTCATTATGCAGGCTAATCTCTGCAGCTTGCGAAGTTTATCTATTACAGTCTTCTGTTGTGCTTTTTTGTACCAGATAGCTGACCCATAAGTTACAATTGGTCTGGCAATAGATGTGTACATCCAAAGGCTGAGTTTTGGATTAAGGCCCCAGTGCTTACCAATGAGGTTTCTGCTGGTCCATAATGCCTCTCTGGCTCTTCGTATGACATTGTCTACATGAGAATTCCACGTCAACTTCTCATCTAGAATCATTCCCAGGTATTTTACTTGGGTAACGGATGATAGCTCTTCTCCATTTAGGAATGGGTAATTGGAAAGTACTCTCTTCCTTTTCTTTGTGAAGACTACCAGACTTATTTTCTTAGGATTTACATTTAATCCTACTTCACTGCACCATCTACTAACGATGTTCAGGGCATGTTGAAGTCGATATGAGATCATGTCTTCATATTTACCCCTGACAAGTATGACTATATCGTCAGCATAGCCTTGTGCCTCGAAATGTTTGGCACTGAGTCGATGCAAGAGCTCGTCTACTGCAATTGACCACAGGAGTGGGGATAATACACCCCCTTGTGGGCATCCTTTTACAGTATGTGCTTTTATTTCGGCATTGCCGAGAGTGGATTTAACCATTCTATTTCTTAGTACATTGCTTATCCATGTGCGTGTCGTATCATCTACTCCTCTGTCATGGAGGCATCTTTCGATATGTGAGTGATCAGTATTATCAAACGCTCCCTCAATATCCAGAAAGCATCCCACCGCATATTCTTTGCAATCTACAGACTCCTGTATTTTATTAGTAAGACTGAGTAATGCATGTGTGGTGGATTTATTTTGTTGGTAGGCGTATTGGTTGGCGTGGAGTGGATTTATAGATAAATACTCTTCCCTTATATGCCTTTCCACTATCTTCTCCATAGTTTTTAAAAGAAATGTAGTCAAACTTATAGGCCTATGGGATTTAGGAAGTTCGCTAGGTTTACCTCCTCCTTTAGGTATGTATTTGACAATTGCTTCCTTCCAATTAGTGGGAATGATTCCCATCGCCAGCCCAGCTCTAAAGATATTAATGAGGTAGGGCACAAGGTCAGTTAGTCCCTTTTGTGGGAGTGCTGGAAATATTCCGTCTGCTCCAGGTGCTTTGAAAGGAGAAAATGAGTTGATCGCCCATTTAATTTTATCTTCAGTGAAGATTTTACGAGCAATCTTCCAGTCATTGTTTCTGGGTCTTTTGGTCACCAGGGAACTAAGCTGGGAGATTGATTGGTCGTAAATTGTAGATCCCGGAAAGTGTACTTCTGTTAGAAGTATAAGTGACTCTTTGCAGTCATTGGTATAAAGACCATCAGGTCGTTTTAGAAGCCCAATGGGATTAGTGTGGCTTTTCGAGATAACCCTGTGGATTTTTGCGCTATTGCTTAAGTTTTGAATCTCTGAGCAAAAGCCTTTCCATGATTCTCTTTTTGCCCTTCTAATTTCTTTATTGTAGGCGGTGAGGGCATTTTTATAATTGTCCCATTCACCGTTGGTTTTTGCCTTGTTGAAGAGTCTCCGGGATTCGACTCTTAGCTTGGCTAACTTTTTATTCCACCATGGTGCACTTCTGTTGCCGGTCTTATTTTTCACCGGACAGGCCCCATGGTAGGCATTTATAATAGTTGTGCTTAAGGCAGCATCAGCTATTTCTAAATCATGAATATTTTTTTATCGTATGTTTATTACTGCCTAGATTGGCCTTGAGTTCGTCAGTATAAAGATCCCATTCTGTGGCCCTAGGCACCCTATACGATTCCCTTACCTTCATATTTAGATCAATATCAAATCTAATCTGACGATGATCAGACATGGATGTTTCTGCTGAAACATTCCAGTTTTTGATAAAATGTTTTATAAATTGTGTTGCTAGGGTGATGTCTAATACCTCTTCCCTGATTCTGTTTATAAAAGTGGGCTTATTGCCCGTATTCAAAATATATAGGTTGTTACCAGTTATAAATTCAAATAGACACTCACCTCTTTTATTGATGTCGGTGCTGCCCCAGATCGTGTGGTGTGCATTAGCGTCACTTCCAACGATGAGTTACCTCTTGCTTTTAACACTGTAGTCTACTAGTCCTTTCAGTGATAGGAAGTCCAGGTCTTGGGAGTCTCCAGGTAGGTAAGATGAGCAGACAATGAGCTCTGTCTTACTTACTGGGGTGTCCACAGAAATTATAGCTGCTACCTGGTCCTTGTTGGTGTGCTGTGGAATAATGAAAGCATTAATGTCATCTCTTACCACAATACAAGCACGAGGTCGACCATGGCTAGCATGATCGTACAGTAGCTTACCTTTTATTCCCTTTATCTGGTTCTCATATACATATGGCTCCTGGATAAAGGCTAGGTCAATCTTTTCAGATAGAAGTCGCTGTGTCAACACCGCCGTAGCAGCTTTGGCGTGTTGAAGATTAACCTGCAGGCACCTCATCATTTTATTGGTATCGTCCTTTACCGTTCCGCATCCACTTGGGCAATTTTGTCCCATGAGTGGGTGCTTCCTGTCGAGGGGATCTTGAAGCTGGTTTCTTTGGCCCTTGCTTCTGGTCCTTTATACTAGATACCGGTGTGCCACCTTGCTGTTTTGAGGTGCTGGGTCCGACTTCAGTTCGGGTGCTGTCCCGTGTGACCTTAACCGTCTCACTTGGCTTATCTGCCTGTGCTTTTGAGGTACTGGGTCTATCACCTGAAAGCGGCCTTTTGGATGGAGGCACCTGTTGCTTGACGTCACTGGGTTTCTCTGTCGTAAATGGCCTTTTTGTCGTCAGTTTCTTGGGTCCAGTTGGCTCTCCCTTCACACGTACGTGAATTTGTGTGAAGTTCAGATACAGCTTCCCTGCCTGACCGACTATCCAATTTTTGGATTTTTCGTCCACTGAGATCGTAACGGTTTCCCCACCATTCTTATCTTTCTCAGTCCTGAGAATTCTCCACGATGATGTGCAAATGCCACCATTTTGTTTTTCCAATCGGGACATCAGAATTTCTGGTGGTAGCACAGCAGAGGGGGGAATAAATGTGATGCACACATAGGTTTTGGGCATCTCTTCGCCCTGAAACACTTTGAGAATAGCATCCGGGAATGGTTTGAGTTTTGGGACACAGGTGGTCAGCCAGTTCCTCGTTTCACCATTGCAGCATGTTAATGAGAGCCATCCGTCTCTGTTAACACTGGTGATGAAGCCGTAGACACTATTGTGCTTGGGAAGTTTGTCAATTTCCTCCAGGAGCTTCGATTTTATCAACTCCATTTGGTCACCAGTGAGATTCACCTCCGGATATTTCTCATGGGCGATAGCCACTTTGCAAGCATTGGCTACATCCCTGTAAGATGGAGTCGGTTTTAGCTGGTTTCCGGTAGAGCTAGATGTGTGTTGAGTGGCTTTTGGCTTTTTGGGCTGCGGGCGTTGTGTTTCTTCGGGAGATGTGTTATTAGATCTGCACCTTTTGCTGGTACTGGGTCTGTCACTTTCTCCTTCTGCTGCCAAGGAAGCTTTGTAGAGAGAGTATCGCTCTCTCTCTTTCTGCTTCGCAGTCTCCAAATCCAATCCATCCCTAATCATGGCCTTGATGCGTCTTTTCTAAGCCCCGGTGAAGTATTCCGCTTTCTTCCTGGTCTCTATGTTGCCGTCACCTGAGTTCACCATGCTCTGGGTATTAGCATTAGACGCACCGCCATCGTGGTCACCTGTGTCCATAGGACTCTGGGTGTCAATCACCGGAGAGGTGTTCCCACCGCTTGATACCATTGGTCTCTGAGCAGATGGGTTCAGATCATCCAGATCCTGAATCTTGAGAGATGCTTCAAGCCTCTTTTCAAGATTTCCTCCAACCTTCGTTGGCGAACGGAGTAGAGCTTCTTCCTCTGACTCTGTAATTATATTATTAATTGGTATATTTAGTTTATTATCCATATACAGTGTTTAATATAAGGGAAAGAACAGTCACCCAAAGCAGAGCCCCATACTTTGAGAAGGCATTAATTAAAACAGGAGAGTGCCCGGTATCCTGAGTTCATTACTAAAAGACTGGATGCACCCCTCCAGTCAAGCATCCTCGGCGTAACAGTCTACCTCAGATTTGGGGGTTTTTATAGGTATCGTACAAATTTGAAAGCTACACATATCAAAACAAATATTACTATAAATACGTACCCGGGAAGTTTTCTCTTCCCAGCCCGACAATCAGCAGTCCACCCTTGGCAGAGACATGACCATATCAAGAGCTTCCCATCAGCCTGAGAGATTGTCGCACTTACCCTTACGAGTCTGGCTGATAAGCTGGAACTTAGTGGACGGTCTTTACCGCCACCTACTCCCTGAGACGCTAGAGTATTGTTTAGCCATTCAGACTTTGCCAGCTTGCAAAAACAAAGAGCCTATCTACAAACTAACTACTACAAGGACTACAAGGTTACAAACTACAAACTACAAACAACAAATTAACTACAAATTTATAACTAATTACTATCACTACAAACATAGATTACAAAACAACACATTCTACCTTAACCTACTGGTAGATCTTGGTTGCACTTCTTGCTCTAATCTCAATCAACATTCCAGTCAGTGACATCAGTGATAACACTGACTGAAATATTGATCAGAATAGCTCAAGTTGTATCTAAGCCCCTACACCACGACAAGGTGCCTACCACGTAGAGGTGTATGTATACTATACTATGTTAATACTATGTTAATATATTCTTTAAAATTATTTTCAATAAATTTTCATAATTTATAACAATTTTTATTTATTATTTTGTTTTGTTTTTATTACAATATTTCCTTGAGATAACTCAGATAATATAAATTTTATTTAATATTACTTTCAACTTATCTGATCGCTATTTTCTCAAATACTTATTTCCATAAAAATAATAAAATAATTTATTTTAATTTTTTTTATAATAAATTATTTTTATACTATTTTCGAAAGTCAAATTTTTATCGCTCATTGTTGTTGTTGTTGTAGCTGTTATTGTTATTGTAATTGTTGATTAATTTTCTTTGCCAATATTTTTCAATCCAAGTCATTGGGTCTTCTTGCCTTGTACGTATCTCGTATTTCTCAATGCTTGTACGTATAGTTCACTTCATCTGGTAATTTATATTCATTCCATGCTCTTAACATGTTTTATTTTTTTATCTTACTTTATTTTTATACTTTTTTATTTATTTATTTTTTTGCTTTGTATTTTCTGTTTTTGATTCAGTTCATTTTGTTCGCGCAATTTACTCTCCCTTGTTGTAGTCGTTATTGGATTGCATTTCGTTGTCGTTGTTGTTATTGTTGTTGTTATTGTTGTTAGCTCTTTAATAACAATATAAAATAATATTTGTTGTTGGGTTCAAGTTCATAGCAAAACGCAAAAATAAAATAAAAAACACAAAGCAAATAAATAATAGTGTTTATATTAAAACGATAAGAGCTGCCAACCTTTGAGAAGTTTTAAGTTGAATAGTAAAATGATAAATAAAAAAGATAATAAATTAAATGTGGTTTTGTTAAACAGAAATTGAAAATTTTTTATAAAAACAAAAATGTAGAAAAATATTGATGAAGACTATTTTTTTGTATAAATATTTGAAGTCGGATAGCAAAATACGAACAATATTCTTTTCGTTTATTAAAATAGACTTACTATTTAACTGAAAGCGATTAGAACTTATAACTCGTTTTTCATTAGAAAGTCTAGATTTTTGTTCTTGATCTAACAGTTTTAGCTGGAATTTCGAAGTAATCCCTAAATATTGTTGTCAAATAACATAAAACAGTTGTTAATTTCAGGAAAATAATGTAGTTAGTTAGTTAGTTGTGGTGGAGGGAGGAACGAGTTCTCCTCAATTAGCTAAAAAAGCCGTTTTAAATTCACAAAACCTCGTAATAGTGGATAGTAGAGAGAAGGTCAAGCTAGAACCAGTCAGAAACATTTATAAACGAAAGAATCTGGGCAATGCTAATGCTAGAGATATCGCCGAGTGTGTTGAAGAGGGGGGCTCCCAGAAACTGAAGCCTAGTTCTGACCAAACCTGGACATAGACACATCAGGCGAAATAATAATCTGACAAAAAGTGTTATATATTAAACTTGAGTGTTACACGTTTTGCCTGAGTTTAATCAATCGAAAATTAAAACTGTCAATTTACGGTAAATAAAATTATTCTGGATGCCAATCGAAAACGATGTCAGTTTACTTTTTTTTTAATTCTTTTTTGCTCAATTAAATGTTGATATAAATAAGAAGTATTGTTTATAAACATAATGTAATTTTAATACTCGAATATGAGGAATTTTTTAGGCTAAGGGTTTCCAAGTTCCTGCTTCCAGCTCCAAATAATAATAAGCTGTTATAATTATAAGCTATGTAACATTTTGAAATGGACTTTGTTGTTGTTAAATTCCTATTTCCTTGCTTCGAAAGATCACAAAGTTGTTCGTTTTTAAGGAAATTATAAATAAACTAAAGACCATTTCATCAAAAGCAATATTCCCCGCTAACAAAAAAAGTGTCACTTCTATGCATTTGATTCGTAATCTCTATTTAAAATATGTGATAAACTAAGTTTTCTCGATTCTGATATAATTGTAACAGTTTTGCTTTTTGACAATGCTGTTCCATGTTTCGGGACTATTTTATTTTATCATAAGAGAGTGCCGAGATACAAAAACAAAAAAATAATGAAGTGGTTATGTGAGATATAGCCTTAGTTTGAAGCTTGAATTCACTAAAACCAGATCAGATTGTAATAGACTTCCGGCTGAAATCGCATTCCAGTAACGCGTTTATGTTTCAGGGGATGAACTGACTTCACTTCACTTATCAAATAAATCCTTTGTTTTAATGTACGATTTTATAATCAGCGTGAACAAAATGTTTTCTTGAGTATATATTATTTGACAGATATCGATCCAGCGATGTTTATCGATGGTCTATCTACCTGTTGCTTTTTATTTGTAACGAAATGATGATATTATGTGAGTTGTTATGAATTATGTTGTCCTTCGTTTCTAATGAAAATTAGATCATAAGACCTTATAAAGTATATAAATACGTATTTATTATTTACTAACACCAGACATGTCAATCTATTGATTTCGATCACTGTGAATCTACCTGTTACGTTGCATTTATTATGAATTGAAGAGGTTATTGCGTCCAAGAAAAGTCTAACCAAAACAAAAGCTTTAGTCAAGAAAATCTTCAATATTTTATCCTAGAAGAGTCTAACCGAAAAAATCTCAACATTTTACTTCTATCAAAATTTCCATGGATATAAATTAGGTTTAGGAATTTATCTGTAAAGTTATGTGTAATCAGTACGTGTATTAGTTATTTTAATCGAAATTTAATCATTTAAAAATAATTAAACAATCATAAACATCTGCAAAGTATAACATATAATTTAATGAAACTTCCCTCTTTCATCGATTTTTGTCATGAAAAATTAAGTGCCATAATTCTCTAAACTACACATACAGATACACACTCTTGAAGCTATAAATTTTTTCGAAATTACACATTTCATTTACCCACGCCCTTAGAGTGTGTGACTAAATTTTTGCCACAAATTACAATGTAAATATTTTTTAATTTGGCAACTCTTTTACGTACTCGTCGTACATTGTGTTGCTGGCCAGGCCGCTGGGTTGGGTATATTTGCATGCACATAAATAAACCCATAACACACCGAGTCGAGCTACTATTTAAATTACTTAACTACATTTTGCTCATTGCTCGTTTGGTTTTACGGAAAATGTATATTTAATCATTGTAATCCACATAAATTAAACATATATTCATACAATATTAGTTTATCATATGCGCTTTCTTATCTGTTGAATATTTGTATGAATGATGAGTTTTTATAGAATGAATGATGAAATTGGTTTATTTCAATATCACAATAATTTTGAATAAAGATTAAACCACACAAAGGTTCATTAATGTTTTATACGTGCTTTATGGTATGATACGACGTCTTCTTTTTAATTATGTGAATTAAAATTGTAGGAAAATCACAAGCTTTAACTTCATACAGGAAACAAGTCGATCCATAAGTCGTTTCTAGAACTCTACACACAGCAGTGTTATGCACTTCGAAGTATTGCGAACAATTTGTAATACGTTCAACTATCATAATAAATGTTATATATTATAGAAAGTGTATTTGGTCACTTTAAAGCGCAGCAAAAAACAACAAGTCTCTTGCTAAAGTC